CTTAGAAGGTAAAATGCCAAGATGAGACCTTTCGCGAAGTAGAGAGTCATGCAATAATTTATCTTTATTAACGTAACACTTTATCTACAAACACACCCTTAGCCTATACCAGTAAAAGGAAGAAGAATTGAGAATTTGATTCTTCTTGTCTTAACAGGTACCATGGGTCCAGAAGAAAGGCCAGTGTGTGTAAAACCACATCAAGGATCCCTGGTATTGAACATGTGACTTGATCATTATGATAGCGGAGCTGTGACTGCGTGCATCACGCGTGCAGTGTAGCTCCATACTTAATAATATTTTATTCCCTCTAATAAGTGGCCTTGTGAGGAATAATGGCGGCTATACTGGTACGATAAGAAAGGAAATAAAGTTAGCGATATTTAGGGTGAGTAGGGGCTGGCTAGGATTTCTTTAAAGGAGGGGGATTCCCAGCGACGAATTTCCACGAGCCTAATGTGATGTGACTTATGCCGCTACTCTACCTTAGGTATAAGGGGTCTCGTAATCATGCGGCGGGAAAGACTGACTATGTGTGCTTTGAAGATTGCTGACTCGGCTCCGCGTGTTTTTCGGATGTCTTAAGTTTGCCTGCGTAGCCAACGGTTTTGTGTACGTTTTGAGGCGTCAAGCAGTGGAGCCGTGATGACCAGCAACGAAGCCGCGTGAGGCTTGGGTCTCGCTTGTTTTAAAGAGCACAAAAAACGGCCGGCTTCACTGGCTAACCTGAAGTATACGATTTGATTAAAAGGAAAAAAGTATCTTTTTTTCCTTTTTTTCCCACAAAAGAAGAAAGGGGGCTCACAGAACACCCCATTACTCTCTTCGGACACCCCCTGTGGATTGATTGGTTGAAAATCCAACTAGCCCTTGCTTGTTGCTGAAGAACAGCAAAGCTGTAGCCACTCCTTAGTTTACTCTTTGCATTTCCTACCAGCCCATCTCTCCAGTTTATATGTGAGACCTATTCCACCTCCTAAACCCCACTACTGCCGCGTTCCACTATTATTTTGATATTCTACCTCAACTTGTTTCTCAGTTCTCTTTAGATTGCAATATGGCTGTACGACGTTTGGTTGACAAGGTTAGTTGATTACAAACAGTTGAATATAGTTTTGCACAAATATGCTCTGGATTACGGTCGCAGTAATAGTATCCTAAAACTAGAACATGTGATTGTAACAAGGTGGGACAGTATAAACTGAACGGATTAGTTTATTGATAATTAAAGCACATTTCTAGTTAATGTTGATGTTTTACAAAAGTAATTGACGCGTGCGGAAAGCATGAATTTCCAGTAGCGCGATGAAAAGGCTTGAACAGAAATCCTCTCCCTTCTGAAAATTAAATGAATGAAAGCAATTTAAGATTTTAACATTTTTTGGACTTGAAACGTGTTGTGAGAGAAACGCGAAGGAAAAAGATCCTACTGGGGAAAGTATGCAGCTCAAAAACGCCACGTGAAGCGGATATTTTGTATCTTCCTGGACGTTTTTAAAATGACAGTTAAGTTTCCATTCTTCCATTTAATATTATTAAATTTATCTACTAATTTATCGTATTGCCTTCTTGTATTTACATATTCTGTTGTTAGCTCTCAATATCCAATGGTATTGCTTGGACTCCAGACAAAAAGACGCTTTATCACGTTGACAGCTTTGAAAAGTAAGTACTAGTGAACTGCCAGAAAAACTTGAAAAAGTTATTTTGGCAATATGCGCTGGAATAGCCTTTTTTGAACAGGAGGATCAGTAATATTTCAAATCGCTTCACGTTAGAGATCACCTTAGATTATTTAACCGTAGATAAAAAGTCACCCCGAGATAAACATTTCTAATTACAGGTTTTGGTGAGTAGTATCGCTGAAACTGTATTTGTACGAGTTGCGCTGCATTTTGACGCCGAATACGCAAGGCAAGGCAAGGCAAAACATAAAGAACGAGTAAAAACACCCAGCGATACGCGAACCAAAATGTCTAATAAGTTATCTATAATCCAGTTGCTTTATTTTATGTGCATTTCATATATGGCATTTCTTACTAGATACAGCCGTCCGATTGAACAGATTTTTTTCCGGAACAAAATGACCAACTGTTTAAAGATCAAGTGATATTTGTACTGGATTCGTGCGTTTTTTGTACCCTGCTTAATACAGATGGATAATAATTCCAAATATTATTACGAGACAGTTAAATATTGCAAGTGTACTTTTTTTTTGATCTTATAGCAAAATCGACGCTTTTGATTATGACGAATTAAGCGGCGTGATATCTAATAGGAGAAATGTTATAGTAGTGGACCATTCCCTTGGGGTAAGTTATTAGCTTAGACCTTGTTTTGAGACTCTAGCGAGCAACTTCATCTTTCCAAAACTATCTTCCAGTGTGCGGAAAACTCGACTATGGACGCCGCCATTTTTAAAATACCTCAGTAACCGGGCTAAGCACAAATTAAGCAAAGCTCAATTGGCAGGATTCATACTACCCGGAGCACAAACAGCTGTTGCTCTTGTTATCGTAAAAGTTTTTGGCGGTTTCATCCCATGAAAAGCTCGCCTCATGACAACTTCGCCCTCTACCGGTTAGCCCCCAATTCGTATCGTTACAGCGAAAGACCCAACGTGGATTTCGCGATTTTATGTTCCAAAATGGTGTATGATTTCGTACTAAAAGGAACATATTTTCCTTGATGAAACGCCGGGGAAACCCGATGGAATGCCGGGAAATAACCTACGAGGTACTAGCACCTCATGTAAGAGTAGTAGCAGTGCCTCTAGTTGCTTCCTGGTGCCACAGAAACCAGGAAAGATATGGGCAATGTAGCTGGCATTTGGCTCGCATGCAGATGTCTGTTATAAAATCGTGTTTTTGTTTCAGGCTCCAGATGGAATGACCATTGATGAAGATGGAATGTTATGGGTTGCAATGTACAACGGATGGAAGGCGAGTATTCATATGAAGATATTAGTGTTCTTTACTTTTAAGGCGACTGAAGGCGACTTAGCGTCCCAGAGTAGGCATAAAACATTTTGCTAAGAGCATAACTACTCGTCTCACAAAATCCGATGATTAATCCCCCTTCAGCTGCCTGAAAGTCAGATAAGATCTGACTAGATGGGCCACTTTTTTCGATCATCGTTTTTTTTAATACTATTATCAAGAATTACTTTATGTTTCCCCGTCGTTGAATTTAAAACGGTATATATATACATATTTTTGCAGGTGGCAAAGTTTAATCCTTGTAGTGGAGAATACTTGACCCATGTAGATCTTCCAATAGCTAAAGTTACCTCTTGCTGCTGGGCCGGCACCAATTATGATGAACTGTTAGTCACTAGTGAAAGGTTAGTCGTAGCTCAGGGCCTTGCAGAGTCGCTGAGGATTTGCGCTGAATCATGGAATGATAAAGTAAAACGAGAAAGGGAAATTCTCACCAAAACGGCGTGAGGTATGAGAAGACCATTGTGAAAGGTCTTTGCTCCGACTCTTTTGCTTAGGTAGCAGTCTTGGACGTTTTTCTTGAACTCAGCGAGAGTCACGTGGACTGCATGCCGTATGAATGAAAGTCGCGTGAAGGCGTGGGGCGAGAAGAAGCAAAAATGTGACAGCATGGGAGGGAAGGGATAGGTTCTTTTTCTTCTTCATTGTCACTTCTCTTTCCTTTTTTTTTTTTTTTTTTTTTTTTTTTTTTAATTCCTAACTTAAATCTTTCTCTAAATTTTAGTGCTCGCTTGACGCCAGAAGAAAAACAACAACAGCCCTTGGCAGGTTCGATTTTCCGAGTGAAAAATTTAGGTACCACAGGCTCACCAGCAGTTGCTTTCCATGGTTAAACAATGAAAGCTGTTTTACACATGAAAAGGAGTATAAATGGGGTTTTCATGAATTTTTTAAACCTTTCGAAAGGGATGAAGGTGTTTTAGGAAAATTTTTTTTTATTACAACTGAGTCTGTTAGTTACCAAAAAAAATTTGCTCACGAGTCCACGAAGTGTATTTATAAGAATTGAAGAAACATTCTAGGGCTAGTATTATTAAAATTGGTCTTTTAAAGAAGTTTGTCTTGTCAGATATTTCTCAGCCATCGAAATTCGGTGGGGCTTGCAAACTGGCCACGGCGAGGAAATTTATAACAGAGTCAAGTTGCATGTATTTGATTACTAATAAAGTGGTGAATTCGAAGTCTGTATACAAGACCGCCTTTCATATGTACTGGTACACTCCCCTGTTCCTTTCGCGTGAAACGGACCTGCTTCTCTGAAATCTAATTATTTATCAGTCCGACTCTCGAAAAGCTTCTACGAACGTGACAAATGTTTCACAGCCTTCTTTCGCAAGATAGCTTCATCAAGAGGAGCTTATTCGATATTTTCCCCTTTTGACTGTTAGAAACTCAAGAATTCCCTAGTGGGGCCATTTTATCTTCATAATGGTTTTTGATTCTATTCAGATCTAGGCTCTATGCAGAGTGAATGCGCTTCATACGAGTACAGAGGAGTAATCACGTGGTCAGGACGCTAGGGGGTTGTCGCGAATGCTGGGAAGGTTCTTTAGATCGTTTTTGGCGGGAATTACCACGCATTCACTCACGCGTTCTGCAAGTGTCCATGTTTTCGTCATTTTATCTAATGTTGAAAGAAAACTTGTGTTTACATATGACTTTCTCATTACTAAAAGATGCGGAAGCGGGTCGAAAACTAAGGCTAGTCGGTTGGGGGTCAGTGGAGTAAAAAGGTAACTGAATTACAACTTTTCAGGTAAGAAATTTGCTTCCAACTTTCAAGAAGTTGTTTAGTTTGGTTGCCCGGTCATCGATATTTAGGCAAATTCAATGGTTCAAAAGCTTCCTAAAATGTTTTCTGCGTTTGAAACGTATAAGTACGTTTTACATGAAGAAAAACCATCGACAAAGTCCTAATTTTTGAGTAACTCACCGATACTTCACTATTTGGATGCTAATTTCCTTACAGGAGACGAGGGGCTTTACCTTAATTCTAGTGCCCGGTCTCTCTCAGTTCAGCCCCTCCAATATGGCGGATATTTCGGTCGTATCCGGGGATATCTGTACCAAGCTCGGAGAAGGACCAACTTGGGATGCAGCTACGCAAAAATTATTTTTTGTGGACGCCTTAGCCTACAGTGTGCATGTGTTAGATGTTGAAACGGGAAAGGTATTGAGAGAAACAAAAAAAGTAGCTGCAAAGTTTACTTCGGAGGAAGTGATAGTTGTACGTCTAACAGCATAGAGGAGAGAAGTACTGGCATTTGATGCCGTAAGATGACTTTCTATTCTATAGTTTTACCCAAATAGAGTTTATTCCTGCTGAGTTAAATGCGATAGAAGGGAGATGTACCTAAATACCCGGATTGATAAACTTCCGGGGAAGGAAAACCTCACCAATTTAATATAGTAATATCTTTTCCTTGTTATTAGGCTAAAAATTATCAGCTGGATGGAATAGTTGGATGTGGTAAGCGTCAATTGAATATCAGAAGTAAAAAATCATGTGATGTACTTTTTACCTTTTTAAGAGTTTATTTGGCCCACAACTCATACCCTAAATTGGAGACCATAGTAAAAAGTTTTAAAGCCAACGTTTTGGGTGTTAGCCCTTTGTCAGAGGAAGTAGAGGAGTTATGAGTTGTGTGTGGTTTGTAGAAAGATAGAGCTACGCTGGTAACGTAGAAAACAAAAAGATAAAGTAGTGTCATCTAGTATAATTAATCGGGTTGATTACATAAATTGACCACCGTAAAGAGTTTCAAGGCTGATGTTTCGAGCGTTAGCCCTTCGTCATAGTGAAAACCTTGAAATTCTTTACAATGACCTATTTTCAGTGGCCAATTTACGTTATCAACTCTGTTGATAATACTCAATTACCCTGTTATACTCTCCCACTGATGCAGATCACAGTTCCTTAAGAAATTTACCCCCATTAAAAAAATTAATTTGTTGAATGGAAAGCATGCATTTGAAGATATTGTGGAGATTTATAAGATTGCCAATTTGAGAATATCAAGAGTTTTGTTGACATGTACTGTAGAATGTTTGTTTGCTAATTACAGTTTGTTGATTGACAAATAAAGTTTTGAATTTTTGTTTGGTGATGGTGGTTATTAAATAATATTTTGACTCTTGTCCCATGAAGGCCTTTCATTTAATTTTTTTCCACATTTTTTTCTTAGTTGTTCCCAGAAAGAGAGGTGGTTCTGTTATTCTGGCATGTGAGAGGACTATAAGGTTTTTAGATCTTGAGGTAGGCTGAGTTTGGTACCATTTAGTTTTACCTTGTTCAAGATATTCTGAATGTGAACACTTGCAGTATGTTTAAATATTTCTTTGATAATTTTTTACAGACTGGGCAGCAGGAAATAGTTGCTACAGTTGACGGTAAGTTTGTAAGTCTTAATTTCAATTTTGTTATGTAGTACACCCTAACATCAATATCCATAATCTCAATACTCATCTCTACACATCTCCTTTGGTATTAACCAGGAGAATTTGTTCAACAATCAAAGCTTCTCAGTTTGGTGATTATATCCCTTATTCTCATGATCCAAATGGATGATTGAGCATAACTGCTGTTAGGTGAAATTAGGTGCAGGGTTTATATGAGGTATTAGTAGTGGTTAAGAAGTGCACTAGAATTTTAGAATTTTTTTCTAATGTGTTGTCTGTTTTGCAGAAGATAAACCAGAAAATCATTTTAATGATGGAAAGTGTGATCCAGTGAGTAACCAGATTACTACAAAAGTTACTTAGCAGTACTTGAAATGTTGGTATTCTTAACCATGTTCAATTTACTCAAGTCTTTTATCTGAACATTTATCTTTTTGAACTGTGTCAAGGGGGCTGACAGCTAACAGTAGAAAGAACATTTATTTGGTTAACCCTTTAACTCCCAGATCAAATTTGCAGTTCTCCTTACTATCAACCATATAATTCTTATAATGTTAGTTGAGAGAATCTAGTAATGGATCAACTCATCATCCCCAAATTGATATTTTTCTTTATTCTTATCACTTGTCTGCTTGATATCAAATTGATATTGTAAGGAGAAATTCTGTCTAGGTCACTTTTACAAGATAAAGGGTTAACTCAATCCTCTTACAGGGAAAACCTAAGGCCCACTGATTGGGTAAAACCATGGTCTCAGTCAGACCTTGTGTAAATAACCAACCCTTTGTGTTTTGCATACTTCGTTATCTATTGTGCAACTTGTAAATTTTGTGGGAGTTACAATTATCTTGAAACAGAGACAAATTTATAGGGTGCAAGATGTCAGAAATTTCTGTTGGAAAATAGTTTTTTGCAATTTCTTATGCGAACAGAAGAATATTAAGGATTAAGGAAATGCAACATTTTCAAATTTTGTTACCTGGGCAGTCATGAGGATGGTAGATAACTTGTAGTTAGACATTTCTAGTGCTCATGCAAGGCATAGTTTTGCAGATATTGGAAAATCTAAAAACAAAATAAAACACGCATAATCTTTTTGCTTTATGTTTAAGTCATAAGATACAGAAGGCTTACTATCCTGATGTGAAATATAAATCCTCTTTTTTTTTGCAAGGTAGGAAGATTTTGGGTTGGCACAAAAGGCCGCGAAACAGGTGCAGGAATTCTCCCTCCTGAGCAAGGGTCTCTGGTTAGTATGCATGATGCTGAATGCCTTCTAGTTAAAACTGAGTTAAAACTGGTGAATTTTTCTTTGGAATTAAATTTTTAATTCCAGAAGTCAGTGGCTGGAAGGGCAGTTAAGATTGTTTAATTGTTCATTTGCTTATTGGCCATTTGTGATAGATGTGTTATCGTTATTTCCATTTCAAGGTCAAAGTATAAAACCCTCTTAGGAGTTGAAGGGTTAATGCCATGTTGAGGCTGTAAGTGAATTACATAAGGAAATCTAAATTAGGCAAATATGATAATTATTTTTATTGAGTCCTAAGTGTGTTTTACAATTTCAGTTTTCACTCAATGGTGACAGAAAGCTTACAAAGTGGATAGATAAGGTGCATAATTTTAATTGTGTATATTAGAGATTTGTTATTACATCATGCATGCTAGGTGCACCATGCATCTCGGGTTTGGTTAGAGCATGATTTTGTTTGCATGGTGAATATGTTAGTGAATCAAGTTAAGGTCGCATTCCATCATACTAAGCCAATTCTCACATGAAACAGGTAACCAATTTACAAAACCCTTTCCTTGAGGGATGCCTAACATGTGCAATTTATACTGTGATGAATATTAAGTTAGTGTATAAAATCATCCATTTATTGCACTGCTGTGATCACAAACTTCATGGAACAACACATTTACCAGGAGACAAGTTCAGTGTTCCTTTTTCATGAGTTGAATCAATAAATTATTGTGAAGTAATCAACAGATTCATGCAAGGCAGCAAATTAACTTTAAAAGTTAATGCAAAAATTGATCAATTTTTAATCATAGATATTTTTTTTCTAGATAACAATATCTAATGGCATGACATGGAGCCTGGATAAAAAGACATTTTATTACATAGACACAGTGACTAGGTATAGCCCTTTTAGTTTTTTTCCCAATTCAGTGTGTTTATATGATTTTTTTTATGGCAATATTAATTTTTCTTTAATGAAATGTGTCTTATTGGTGCCATATATATCAAATTGAAGAACTGCAGTGCAGATTGATGGCATGACTGAAAATAATTTTCAATCCCTTCTATAGTAAAATTGATGCTTTTGATTATGATCATGAAGCTGGGGCCATATCAAATCGCAGAACTGCAGTCCAGATTGATCCAGCACTTGGGGTAAGCTTGCAGATTATGTGTCATGCACTGTGTGAAAAATGTTTAAAAATATGGGACAGAAAGATGTTTCTTTGTCTTGTTGTGACCTTCTTAAAAAGAAAAAATTATTAGTCCCTCTAAAGAATCAACCCTCAGAGTTCTACCAAAGAGCCAGAAAGACTTTTCAGAGAACTAGGTTGATAATTTGTGCCATACAGTTTACATACTGTCAGAACTGTTATCAGAGAATTACGGTCAACTCGCCGACGGACCAACTCGCCGACGTATAAAATCGAGTA